TGGCTCTTACTTGGAGTCTATTTTTCACATTCTGAAATGCTGCAGAGTTTTCGTGTAGCTAGAGTCTTTTTGGATACATTTGGTTTTTTTTAAAAGATCCCACTAAGAAAATATTAGCTATTATCTAATTATCTTTTTATGAAGAAAAAGTAAAGGGGCAGTTACTTTTGGAGTCACAAGCCATTCCACACATACATGGAGGACCTGTACATATACAATTTGCAAGGTCATACAAAGGTCCTATCTGCAAGAAGAACCAGTTTGCTAAAGTAAGCTCTTCTCTTTTCCATTGACACCCATCATCATCAAACCAGATGAAAGACATGGGAGTCTGAACATTCGTCTTTCTCAAATCCATTATATACAAGTGTTGAAAAATGCATTTGGAGCCTTCAAATATTTCCTTGACTATGCTAAAAGTAATTTAGCAGTATTAAAAATTTACAAAGAACATTCTTTTCTCTAGGAAAGAATGTGTGAAATTGTGTCATGTTAATTGAACCCTGCTGTGGTAGGCATACAGGAAACTGATTTCTGTAAAGCACTACTGAGAACACACTCTGTCTCTGGAACAGGGAGCTTAAAATGGATGGGAGAAAAGATGCCGGTGGGGTCATTAGCTTGGCATAGTAAATTGAAAAGTAAACGACTACTGTAATGTTCCATTTTGTATTTAGAAGCCATGAAGGGAAGATTGTAGTTAGTCCATTTCCTTCAGTATTATATCATCTAGCAAGGCAGAGCAGAAAAATATTCCATTGTTGTTTGTTGACTGTTGTGTCTGTCTGTAAGGCTGAAGTGTCAGAACGCCTGCCTATTATGTTGTAGGCTGAGCTAGAATATGTGCCTAATGGTACGCACAATTCAGCATTAAGTGTTTAATCTGTTCATAACATCTCTGAGAACCAGAAAGTGTTACCTGTGACTTCCCCACACGATATGGTTCAACTGTATCACATAGTTGTCTGTATGACCGTGGGCTATGTTTTAGGAAGATTTCATAAGCCAGAAGGGGAAAGACAGTCAATCTGCAGAGGGAAAAGGAATTCAAAGTAGGTAACTGAAGACTAGAGAAGATGATAGGGAAGTCTGACCAGGGTATAGGTGTTGGTCCCATGGCTCTAGCCTAGTCATTCATCCACAGGAAGTCAGATTAATGTCTCTGCTTTTTCTGTGGGCGTCTTTTAGAATAAGTAATACCCAGGAAGTTAGAGTAGCAAGTAAACTTGACTGTTCATACTTCATTAAAGAGCGTGTTACATTTAATTGTCCTGGGTACTGCTTTATGTCTGGCATAGAATCTATGCTTAGCAAATAACCTTCTGAATGATAACTTATTAACACCTTATTTCCTATGCTAGGGTAGAATAGTATGAATGGGTGGGAAAGTACCCAGATTGTTTACATTATAGCACAAGGCATATCAAACATATACATTTGATGGCAGAGATATTGGCAGAATAGAGCAGTGGTTATTGCTGTGTGAATTTGAAGGCAGATTCGAACTGAATTCCAGCTCCAACGCTAGCCAGGGGTGTCCTTACATAGCTAATCTCTTAGTGACTTAATTTCCTCATTTGACATGGGAATATACCTAGGTGAAATGAGTTTAATGAGTTTTTATATGTGAAGTGTGTGAATAGAGATGGTATAAGGTAAATGACTATTAACTGTTATTTTAACTGCTTGACAGCTCTAGAAAATAACTCTGCAACAAGTTACGTGTTATTCTCTGATGGCTTTTTCATAGAGATTTCTAAAATTCTGGACAAATGACCAGGGAAAGGGTTCTGAGATCATTACAAGGGTGACAAAATCCATCCTAGACCTAGCGATGGCCTTCTGGGCACTTTGTCATGGCAGAGCCAGTCCTGGAATCCAAGCTACTTAGAACTTTACATGTATTGTAATCAAACAAAAGGATTAAAACTTGGCAATACTTAAAATGAATGCCATAACTGAGACAATGAATGGTTGTAGCTGAGGTCTGTGAGGCTGGATGTTTAAACCCTGGTTTAGCACAAGTACACAGTAGTCAGAGCACTCAGTGACTTAAGAAATGTGATTTTTTTGTATGTTATGAGCATTAATCATAATAGGGCTAAAATTTTTCTAGTCATATAACTTAAATGAAACTGATCAAGATATTTAGAACCAGATCAAAGTATAAACCAAGGTTGGAAAGATGGCTCAGAGGTTAAGAGCACTTGCTGCTCTTTCAGAGGATCGAAGTTTAGTTCCTAGCACCCACATGGTGGCTCACAATCGTATGTTAGCTCCAGTTCCAGGTGATCTGATGCCCTCTTCTGACCTTCACAAGCACAAGGGATGAACACTGTGCAAATACATACATGCAGGTAAAAATACTTATACAAATAAAATAAAAATACCATTTTAAAAAGTATAAAATGTTCTCTATAACCATGTGGTTCATTTGTATAGGCTTTTACTAAAAAGACAAACTCTATAGCTTAATTCTCTCCTACAATGGTAAGAGGAACTTAAATCATACAATAATTTTTGAGTGTGGTTCACATTAATGATTTTTATATCACAGCTGATATTATTGTGGCCCAGTAACACCTTTCATCTGGGATGGCTTTCACAGGTCTGTGTCTTGCTTTTCTCTGATGACCACATTCTGGGGAAAGGAGAAAGCACCATTGCTGTCTAGTTGCTGAGCAGCTGGGAATAGTGTAGCAATCCTCAATTCTATTTCTTTGTTATCAGAGTACAGACAAACCATAAACATACATATTTAAGAAGTTTCTTTTTGTAAATAACCTTAGCAAATATACTTTTCAGTTTAGAAGCTGGCCACAATCGTCAAAGATTAGGTGAAATTTCATCTATGACAAAGGACTCTAAATCAAAATAAGACAATTATGATCTCTTTGTGGTTTTAAAGTTTTGAGATGAAGCCAGTCACTGCAATTGCAGCTCCCAAGAGCTTCTCCATAGAGGGGTAGCTTCAGAGGAAGGATTGTTTCTTATGGAATCTCCCAATTACAACAAAAAAGTAAATCTCCTATTTGCTGGAACTTTCAGACATAATATTTTCCTTAAGAAGATTTATTCCAAGAGAAGATATACTAGACCTGAACCAAACCAAACTGTAATAACATTCCCTACAAAGAGATACAAATCTCACTTGAGCTCAAGCATGTTAGTAAGCTGAGAAAGACTGTGAAGAAAATTATCAACTCAAGTGCCTAGTTTGCAAATAGCATTTACTTCTAGGAAGAGCTAAGCCTTCTGCTTTAGCATCAGTATCCCAGAGAGGACAAAGGCAGCCTTAAGGAGTACAGATCCAATGCTAAGCAGAGAAGGCAGGAGGAATCCTAGGTCAGTGCAAGGCATGGCTATCCTCAGGAGTCTAAAAATCAGCTCTTTCACATTTTTATTTTTATTTGAAACCTCCTCCAATACAAAGCTGACAGGAAATTACGGCTGAAGAAAAAGAAATCTTTTCAAGCCTGCTCTTTCCTCTCATCTTCTTCTCCCACAAACAGCATTGTTTTACACTTTATTATATGATATTTTCCAAGGATGAGAAGAAAAGGAATGGACCTGAGTTCCTTCTCTGATTCCCTATTTTAACTCAAGCCTTAGCCTAACACCAGAACCTCATCGGTTTATGCTATTTTCTTCAATGCTCTTACAAACTATAGATGTTACTATATCCTAATGTGTTTATAAAAACACAAGTATTAAATATGCTTCAAGCTTATATGTTTATTGGTATAACTAGTTGGGAAGTGATCAGACCATGCTCCTGAGAACGTAACTTAGGTTCCCCCTGTTTGCTCCCCAAAGCAGCTATACTAAATGGAAAAATACATCTACTTTCTTTTCATTTAAAGCTTCTTTATTCGATAGTCAGGCCAATTATTTAATTTATACTTAATGTTTTTATAATATCATCTTAAATGATGGTTTGAGACACTAACTGCATCAACTATGAAGCTCTGTTAAGCATTACTACATGATAGACTCGTGATTAGATTTTGAATCTTTAACATTATTTCCAAAAGTCAAATCAGCAGAAAGACATACGGTTGGTTAACCATGCTGGAACTGCACAACGAATTTGTTAGCATACATACATCTTAACCAACTCAGAGGGTCACCTCCTCAATTCTATAATCTAAAAAAAAACTTTAATCCTTAAATAAGGAAATACTTTATTGGCTAACTTATCGTAATTAATAAAATTAGGCATTTCTTGAGGGCAGCAATTCTTGATGGGATAAAAACAAAGTTATCTCTTATTGAAAGCCCCCCGGAGTGAACTGGCAATACAAAGTATAAATAAACAGATGTACTTACCTGGAATTAAAGTTCAGAGAGTTGGAAAATGCGGGGAAAGTTTCAGTGGACAGACAATATCAAAAGAAGACTATCTGCAGCCTTCGGTTGGGCTTTCTGCCTTTCCAAGTGGCAGTGAGGGCAGCGCTAGCCAGTACCCTCATCTTATGTAACATCATCTTATTAATATTAGCCATCAGACTGCTACCAAGCTGGCGAGGCACTAGAGGGCAAGAGAGGCACATGCAAGACCCATCTCCAAGGGACCAGCGCGGGGACCACTTCAGGGAAGACAGATGCTAACTAAGCTGACAAATGCCAGATGTCTGAAGGCACCATCGAAACTTGCCGGTGTTCCTCAAAGAATATTTTAAATGCTGATTTCCTATTAGCCCGAGTTAACAGGTTAATAAATACTCGTAAGCAAAGAAACACATTATGAAAAAAAAACTTTCAGGATTATATTTACAAACCCATAGTGACTCGGGGGTTTGTCTCTGCATTGTTTAAATCAACGTATTTCAAACAGGAAAGGAGAGGCTGCATATATAAATTCAACGAGTGTAGACCTCAAGACCCTTCGTTTCCAGTCGCTAGAAACTTGGGATAGTGTCTCTGCCATCTCTGGAGTCCGTATTTCAACTATCTAGGGTTGGGTCAAATGAGGACCTGCCCTCCAACCTAGTGATTACCTCGGGCTGTGGAGCGCCGGCATCCTGCCTCCCGGTCCTTGGCTTCTCTGCGCTCCCGCTGCGCAGCCACGGCTGCAGCCGCCTCCCCCAGCATCCGCTCTGGAGCCGAGTGGGCTGGGCGCGCGGGGCGGGCGGGGCTGGCAGGGCGAGTGGTCCAGGAGCTCAGGGCGGGGCGGGGCGGGGCTAGGCGGGGCTAGGCGGGGCGGGACAGCCCGGCTCCTGCGCGCGCTCTTGGACCGGCGCTCGTCCCACGCCCGCACGCAGTCTCCAGGGTGCCCGCTGCCCGCGCGCACTCGCTGGAGCGGGAGGAGGCGTTCGCTGGGACCTGATTCCCGACAGCCCCGGTTGCTGCAGGAGGGAGTCAGGGAGGTGCCGAGCTGCACCACAGGTGCTGATGCCCCGCACTGGGTAGGGCAGCTCACTGGCTTTCCTCTGCTTGTTAGTCCTCTAAGGCCAGTTCCTCCATCCTGGAAGACCAGTGCAAGGCCAAAGGCAGATGAAAAGGTATTTCAGATTCAAGGTGAGGGTGGGTAAAAGCCCAAATGGAAAGAACCTTCCAGTACACCATAGGCTGCACCAAGGGAGAGAGCAGTTTGAGTCGGGGACAGCCCACCGATTGTACCATGTAAAGAGCATTTTCTGTGGACACAATCAATACTTAGACGATCAGTCAGCACCTCACAAGGCGCCATGTCCCACTTGCTTTAAGTAATATGGGTCACTGCCTAAAGGCAGTGCTGGTGTTCTCTTGGTAGTTAGGATTAGAATGTGATCAAGTTTAGTCATTCAGACTCAAAAGATGACATTTCTGGATCCATTGGGGCCCTGCTTAGGCAAGTGGACGGTCGTATTTGGGGTTCTGATCAGAGGTGCTTTTGGATCCTCATTGTCAAGTGAGAACTGAAGACAGCACTACTGTTCGGGGAGCAAATTAAGGTGTTGGAGTACAGCTAAACCTACACGCTCATTGGTGCGCACTCTGAACCCAGTTAATACCGAAGCACCTCTCACCTCCATGAGTTTTCATACTCCAATCCATACACAGACTCTTGGCTTAAGACAGCTCTGGTTATATTTTCTAGCAACAAGAAGTGAAAGAGACAAAAATGATGGAGATATCAAACACTTCGCGTTGCTTAATGATTTTAGGAAGACCGTTGGATGCAAACAGCGAGCGCGCACCATTCAGCAGATACTTGAGTTAGCTGGAATTTGGTTTCCCTTTCTTTCTTTTTTTCTTTTTTTATGTGTTATTATTATTAGCTATACACATTCCTAGCCTGGTTTGCTTCCTTCCTTCCTTCCTTCCTTCCTTCCTTCCTTCCTTCCTTTCTTCCTTTCTTCCTTTCTTTCTTTCTTTCTTTCTTTCTTTCTTTCTTTCCTTCTTTCTCTCTCTCTTCTTTTTGAATAGGGATGATTGTATCTTTTTCTTACTCCATTGCGTAGAGTGTAGAGAAATGCGGGATATAATTGCTCTTCTGGAGCTGCTGGCAAAATTCCTTGGCTTAATAATATTTATTTATTCATTTATTTATAGTTGGAGTCTCTCTTGGGAGTCCGTGTCTTCCAAGAATGGTGCAGAACACCACATTTGTTTCGATATGCTTGCTCCAGAGAGCCTGACCTGACTCCAAAGCATCTGTCCAGCTACCTAAAACTTCCAGATGGGAGCGGGCTCAAGAGCGAAGAGGCTTGCCAGCAAGCCAGAGAACCTAGGTTTAGTCTGAACAGTCCTACTTGTTGGGAGGAGAGAACCAACTTCTACAAGTTATCCTCTGACTTCCACGCCTGGGCATATAATCTACGTCTTTAAGCCAGAAGGTATGAATGACACCAAGGAACCAAGGTTTTCTAGACACATCAGGACTGGCACACACAGGAACTCATGGAGACGGGGGCAGCTTGCATATAGTCTCTGCACAGGTCTGCACCAGATGGAGACACAGAGATGAGAAGAGAAATGGACACAAACATTCTCATTCCTAACCCAGAAGCTATCTCCAGTTGATAGCCACTTGCAAATAAAAACTTAGTTTTCTCCAGGGGAGTCTCACTGGGGACCATTCTTAAGAGCAAGCCCCATGTCCAGCAGTAGATGCCAATAGAAAACCAATCAACAGCATGTTTGACTCTTAGTGTTAGACTTTTAAAATTTTTTTCTTGCATAGACATAGGCTTCAGATTTTGTGTGAAATCGTGTATCTCTGCACCTATATATGCTTCTTGTACTTTTTCTTTAGCTCTTTATTTTTGTTTGATTGTTTTGTCCTATTCCAATTTTCTTTTGTTTTATCTTATTTTATTATTTGTTTAGGCACCCATTAGTTTTTAAAAGAGAGACAGAAAGGGTGTGGACCCAAATGGGAGTGGGGATGGGGAGTAGGAACTAGGAGGTGTAGGGGGAGGAGAACCATAACTAGAACATATTGTATGAAAAAAAATCCATTTTCAATTAAAAAATAAATACATGTAGAAAAGTATTGAACATCAACTAAGTGGCTCTGGGAATACACTAATGCTGAATAAATAAACACGAAAAGCAGGTGCGGTTTTCTGCCTTCCAGTTGTTTATAATGTATTGCCACAGGGCAGGCAATACAAGACTTCAGCGAATGGACAAGACTCACAAATCCATGCACCTCCGAATGGTTCACCATGTATTTTGGAACTGGGTTTGGAACTGGGCTTCACTATTCGTCTTTCTTTTCCTATCTTCTCTGCACAAAAGGGATTAAAGCCCACAGAGGACCTCTTGTATAGAATACAGTAGTTAAGAGTGTCTTTTAAAACTTTTCTTGTTAGAGAGAAACAGAGGCACACCCAGCTTCCTGGATGCTTTTAAGAGTGTGACTGCTTTTACTTAGTGCTGCTGCTCCCAGCCAATCATTTGCACATGCAGATGGCTGAAAGGTACACTGTCTCCTCCCAAGATAAGTCCCAGCCTCATAGCTCCATTGTAGAAGTTTACATCTGTGTGTATGTACATATGTGTGTGTGTATGTATGCCCTTCCATCCCCGAGCTATTCACCCGGCAGAGAGATAAAGAGGGAACATAGACTTGAGTGACAACGTTAGCTCTCTTTTTCTATTTTATTTCCCTTATGTCGGGATGATGGGCCAGGAAATAATATTCTCTCTCCTGGATGGATACTCTAGTGTCTTGGATACTCCAGTGTCTTATGCTGTTCACTATAGGCAACAATGAACCCGTGCCCAGCCTTGTCAAGGTGCTTCATGCTGGGAAGCACCTGAAATGTATTCATCTCCAAATTAGTTTCTTCAATAGGTTTAATGTGATAACCGAGCCACATTAGTCGTGATCTCTGGGATATAGCACACTTTTCATAACTACCTTTGGTCTTTGAATTTTGACTATTTATAAAAATTTTGAGGACCTCAAAAGTAGAAGAGAACAAAACTCCAAGAAGTCCTGGCCCAGATTGTATAAAATTTTGTTTATCAGAGAGAGAGAGGGAGAAAAAGAGAGAGAGAGAGAGAGAGAGAGAGAGAGAGAGAGAGAGAAAGAGAGAGAGAGAGAGAGAGGGCTATAAATTAAAATTTTACAGAAATGATTAAGAAAAAAACAAAAAGAACAAAAGAATGTAGTTTTGTACATTGAAATAATTAATCCTCTATTTAGCCACTCTGACAGAAGGCGTCTGGTAGTACTAACTCATGGTGATGTAGAGATTTAATAACATGTCTTATATAAATTAAAATTACAACCTGTGATGGGATCTTGTTCCTCCTCTGAATGCTTCTACACGGAGGGTTCTGATTATAAAAGGATTTTGAGAAACTTATTTCAATTTTCAGAGTTCTCTTCAATTTTTCAATGTTTAAATTAAACTCATGCATTATTCCACTATGACAAGATTAAAAATCAGATATACAGAGGACACATTATTTTTTATCTGAAACAGCTAATAAGTGTATTACAATCGTCTTTAAAATCATCAGCTAAGACTTGTAGTAATGACTCTGTCGATATGCTTAAGATAAGGGGGTGAGGACTTAATAGAAATTATCTTTTAGCTAGTAACTTCTAACTCAGCCCAAGGAAGAAGAGTCCAGCTTTCTTTATTGTCTCAAAAGATAGTTATTTGAAAATAGACCCAAATAAAACATCTCCGCAAAACAATTGACTGAGGGACATGCATGGGTGTCAGGGTGTTATGTAGCTACTGTGCCACCACCCATCAGTGTCCCGATGGATAGCACCTTTGATAAATGAACAAGGTGGAGTAGGTTGCATTAAGGTCCTTTTAAAAATATATTTTTAAATTAAAATATAATTACAACACTGTTCCTGTTTCTTGCTCCCGTGTACCCTCCACTCCCTCTCACCTTGATGACCTTTTTTGTTGTTGTTTTTGTTTGGTTATTATTATTCCAAACACCTATTTGTACCAATCTGCTTTGTCTATTTTTGTTGTTGTATATGATTTCTGGGCTGTTCACTTTGTATTGGGTAACCAGCTAGGGGACTTATCCTTGGTTGATGCTATTTCTCCCTCTCTCAGTCTGAGCAGCAATGACTGTATCTATAGACAGGCTAATCTGTAGGTGGGGAAATTGAATGAGGTTTGACTTGCCAGAAAAAAACCCACATGCAACCAAATGTCTTATTTTAAGAAACAACAGTTTATAGCTCACTGGTAGGGTTGGGGATGTGGCTCCAGCCTTAGTGGTATCATCTTCTCAAGGGAATCTGGTTCAGGACTCTGTTCTCTATCCCTAGTGTTTTGTATTCAGAGCCACGTGGGGAACAAGAATCTGCATTTCAACAAGTGCTCAGGTACAGCCATCCACAATTGAAGAAACACAGACTTAGAGAATTTTTGAGGAAATGTTGTTTTTATTTAATTTTTACATATTTTCAAGAATAGGTCTGTATGTCTATATAAGCAACTTAGTTCACAAAGTTTTCAGATTATTCCTTAATTTCAATAAATATACAACAAACCTGGTACTTTTCATTGGTTTCCATATAATCAGTTAGGAAAAGCCTTTCTTTAATGTAGTAATATCTGGAAACTGGCAAACAGAAGCTTTCTTTCACTTCAGAGAGATTCCTCCATCACAGGCTTGTTCTGTGTTTTCTGTCCCTTGTACATTAAAGGTCATTTAATCCACAACAAGGA